CGTTCTGATAAATTCAATATCAATCACACACACATAAGAATTGATAAAATTTAAGAGGAATTAGCATTTCTGATTTTTATATATATATATATATTCTTTAATTTCTGTAAAAAAAAAAGAAAATATGAAATTATTACTTAAGACAACCTAACAAGATGAATAATAATTATAGTGTTGCCAATAGATAGAGATGTTCCCAGGTTTATAGTATCACGTAAGATATAGATAGATAGATTCGTGTATAGAAAGATAATATTTTAGTATTAACAATGTATAAACATAAAATTCTTCTTAATTTAAATCATCAGCAACATTCCAATTAATCTTACATTTTCTTGAGAGCCAGAGTCTAATACATCCCATAATATTTGATAGAATTTTATTATTTAGAGTATTTTATTTTAAGATTAGTTCTTTCTATTAATACATATTTTAAAAACAATTGTCTATTAAAAAACTATATTTGGACTAACTCGCATTGGTCAGAATTCAAATTACATTGAACAAATAAGAAAAGTAATATATTTTGTTCAGTTTACTTTGCACAGTTTTATGGCTTACAAATATCTCATTGAGTTTAGCAGATTTTGTTTCATTACCCGAACATAAAGGAAACGCACAATCTGTAATTGTTCAAAAATAAAATTTTATCATTTTTTAAATAATAATTAAATAATAAAGATAAATTTAAATGAAAAAAAGTTACTTTTTTTAATATTTATAAATTTATTTTTTCTAAGTTGAGTATTTCTAAATAAAAATCACATGTTCTGCCAATAGTTACAATTTGGGTCTCAAGACGATGTGACATATTTACACTGGGAAAAAAAGAGTATAGTCGAAACTATCAGAATATTTTAAATTTTACAGCATTTTGGCTCTATAGGAATACTAAAATGCTAGGTAATTTTAACCGAAGCGCTTTGCTAAAGGCTTCGATAAAATTAGCAATAAAATATGGCTTTATTAGATATGATAAAATGTAATTATACAAATAAAGTGAAATTTGGTAGTTTTATCAAGATATCTTACAGAATGGCATGAAAATCCTCTATTCAGTTAAATTTACTTTTCAGTTTTGTATTTTTGTATTAAATGCGTAGTAATAATAACTATGATTTTTAAAACTAAACTTTCCTTTTTTGTCATGCCACAGGAAAATTACCAAATGAAGTTTAAATACCATACATTTTGATTTTCTGAACCAGAATTATGTTGTTTTTTTACTAGACGCGTCCTTACCATTCAGAACTTGACAATTTTACCAGAATTGTTTTCACTATGTATTACCGAAATAAACAAAATTTAAAAATTTGGAAAATTAAGAAACGAAATAAAAAGAATTTCTTCCCACGATTCTTTTTCTCTCTCTTTAAATTAATTTTTAGTATGAGAAATTTAAACATATACGTATTATATACTATATAACAACTCATCATAATTAATTGCCCACCTGTTGTTGCACTTAGGTAAATAAAGTGTCATTGATATGTTGAGTTTTTAATTGGCTTACTAATTCATTTTCCTTGTTTTCGCTTTCTTCCTTCTTCATATTTAAATCAGATTATTTAAAATTTCTAACGAATAGAAACTAAAACATTGAAAACTTGAGCTGTTTTTCCTTGTTTAACTTATACTTTGAATTTCATTAATTTTTGAATGTGCGTTTTATATTACTTTTTTACGTAAAGACTAATTTAGAAATGGAAACGTGAGTATTTTTAAATTGCTAAAATATGATTTAAGAAATAATAGAATAAAATAAAATGCAATGAAACAATTGAACTGCGTCGATTTTCTTTTAGAAAAAGGAAATCAACAGACCATGAAAGAAAGATCAATTGATGAGATATACAAGTATCTGAGACATACTCTAAGAAAATGATCGCTATTTTTTTTTTCAAATCACCCAGTTATCAAACTTACTTTGTACTCAAATTTAAGACAATTACAGTCTGTGTTTCGAGGCCGGTTTTTTTAAACAAAAGATCAAAGTAAATTTGCATAATATTATGACATTAAATTATTAATCGTGCATTACTTCCAAGACAATAAAAATCATAGAACTGTATTTTTATTTACGACAGATAATTTCAGCATATCAAGTTAAAAAAGAAACGTGCCACGTTATCACGTGCCATCATCCGTTATTCAAATGTATAATTCAAGGGCAACAAAAACTTATTTTACCTGCATTTAGTAATATATATATA